TACAAGTCTTTTTTCATAATATAGTCAAAAGTTATTAGTGGTTCTTTTGCTGCGAGTTAGCCCGTTCGTCTGCCAGATTGTTTCCTTTTATTCCTGCATGTCCTGGAACCCACATTAGTTTCAAGCGATTGTTATTCTCTATTAATTTACTCCGAATACAGGAAATTAAGTAGGACTTGTTGTTTGTATTTATTACCGAGTGTATGGTTGACTTGCTATCAGTGCAGATTAATTTGAATTTCGTTCAAGAAACAATTGCTGATTCGATGTTTTTTCGCAAAACCATTTTTGCCATATTCGCATTTTATTGAAAAAAAAATATGAATAGTTCTACATTACTTTAGAGCTGCATACTAACACAAGTAAAGTAAAGAAATAATATAAGAACAAAAGAAATATATAAATACTTTAGAGCTGGAASCTAACCTTTAGGTAAAAATATTTATACGTTCTCCGCGCCGTGAACCTTCTTCAGAGAACGTTTATCATAGAGAAAATGAATAAGCTTCCACGGTCAGTTGGTGATGATATATGTATGTATGGAATTTTACAGTATGCTATTACAGAAAATTAATGAACTTAAATCAAAAAATTAAAATAAATATCTTTTTATACTCACTTATCATCTGATTAGTTATGAAATAAATAAACACGAAATTTGGAAACATCAATCTTTTAATCATCATTTAATCATCAACACAATAGAATGGAATAAATATAATAAAAGCATATTAATAAAAATTATTAACTACCGCACGAGGGTATTATAATCCACATACATGTATATGTACGTATTCACTTACTTTGTAATTATACAAAATGCTTCCAGAYTTTGGGAGGGCTTTGAAAGCTATGTGTTTGCCATCGATAGCCCCGACGCAGTTCGGAAAATTCCATTGTTGTTCGATTGCTAACTTAGCTTTAGTAGGAATGAAATCGTTTGGTCTAGTATACCGCTTTGAAAGCAGATGTGGTTTCAGTATTCTCAAAGCTCATCAAATACAGTTGGTGGCATACGAGAATTTTCGATGAAACGAGTTGGATCATTCCGTAAGTTTTTGAAGTCGCTGAAAAACCTCTCCTTCTCATTCCTTGCCTTGAGATAAGGGCTCATCCAATGACAGGGTCTCCTGCGTCTTATTTTGTTTTTTCTAGACTCTATGATGGTCATGAATATGCCACAGTTCAACAACATTTTAAGATTTAACCTAAAATATAAGGAATACATTTGTATAGACACTATAGTTTGGTAAAGTATAGTATATATAAAAATCTACTCCTCGTCTTCCATTATAGATACTAAAAAGTACCACCTGTAAAATAAATAATAATCATTAATCAAGATATTTTTAAATAAATTAGATATACATAATGGGAAAATTACCAATTGCTTTACTCTAATATCTTTTCTGTTTGAATAACGCTTTGCTTTTTTATATACCTATTACTCCTGCTCAAATTTCTATTCTGTTAGATTAGTTTTTCACTTGCCCACCTGCAAAATAATGGGGAACTTACCAATTGCTTTGCTCAAATATCTTTTACGTTTGATTACTTTTCACACTCTTCTTCTTCTACTTTTTAACATTCACGTTGCGATATGAAATGTCAAAATTTCTTGCTAACTACTATTTCACACAAAAGAAATAGTATCAACAATTTCTTGAGCATTTACTTTAGAGCTGGAACCTAACCTTTATGAATTATRTTTCATTTTGAAATGTTGTATAAAACTTACCAATCATCAACAACATTCCTTAAGCTTAGTATCCAGCTCTGAAGAAATGTAAAAATTTCATAAAAAAACGCTGAAGAAACGGTCAAGTAACTTTCCTGAGATAAATTTACTTGTGCTAGTATGCAGCTCTAAAGAAATATAGTACTAATTTTTAAAACATTTTTTCAATAAAACACGAATATGGCAAACCTTAAATCAACAATTGTTTCTTGAAAGAAATTCAAAGTAAATCGTTAAAATCGTCTTAAATTAGTTAAAATCATTATTATGAAGTATATTTCATTTTGAAATGTTGTATAAAACTTTCCAATCATCAACAACATTCCTTAAATCGCAATGAAAATATTTATGTTACTTCACACATATGTACATACATACAAAATACGCGCAAAGTTTATTTTCGTTGTTTATTCTTACTTGAGAAAAAATTTATTTATTTTTCTTGAGCAATTAATTGAGAGCTGGATACCAATCTTACCGTGCGATTCTGTACTGTGATACAATATCAAGTCTCTAAATTTGACAGAGACAATTTTTGAGACTTGAGACGGTTTTGCTATTCTGTAAGTTATAGTCACAAACTCTATTACATTTCATTATTCAAAGATGTTTTTATACTTGAATGAAAATAAATATGT